GATGTACTGGACTTCACCTCCCATCATGATATTCAGGGATTTCAGAACAGAGGAAGGACTAGAACCTTTTCTTTTAATGGAAGAAAGCACTCTTAAGAAACTTAGTTCTATTCAGAAGGACTCACAATATAATACACAAGACGTTCCAACTGTCTTTCTCATGGGAAAATACAATGATATTTCTAGGACAATGGTTACATTTGAAACCATTCGTCATATAGTTCAAAGATTTCCAAACTGCTTTGGGTTCTCTGTAGTTGTTGGGTTCTTCAGCAAGAAGATCAGTAATGTTAGACAAGGGGCGGGGGACATTTTCATTTCAGCAAGGTTTAAGCAAGAACATTTTCTTAGTAGATTGTGCCTATAATGCTCCAAAGGTTACTCAATTCTGAGTCTGAACTCTGTTTTAGGTAGCATATTGGAAAAATTGCTTCAGGCCCTTCCTGGAAATTATTTCCAGCAAGAAATGAGCAGGCAACAGAATGTTACAACACAGAATTTATGTATGTGTATACATCAGCCTTCCTCAACCACGTGCTCTCCAGCTGTATTCAACAGCAGCTCCCATCATCCCCAGCCACTGGCCATGCTGCCTAGGAATGATGGGAGTTGTAAACTCAGGCACGTGGAGAGCAGCAGGTCAAGAAGGCTGAAATATAATGCCAGCATTTCCCACAAGAACTTGTGACACTTGCCAGTGCACAGTGTGTGGAGGGGCACAGAGGGAGGTGTTAAACCTGGCTGCTCTGAAACCATGCACAGCACAACAGCCCCTGCCCCACACATATGCTGCTCAAGGTGAGGGGAACAGCCCTTCCACCAAAAGTTGAGCAGTTGCAGAGAACTTGCCAAGTCAATCCACCCGGATATCTGCTTTAGTAAAATATTCTGGCAAACAGGAGAGGTGTGGGTGTTTTCGATCAAGAGTCTAGCAGTTTCCCTCTGTTTCTGCCCAACCCCTCACCCCTCAGGATGCAGGGAATCCATTCATTCATAAAAGAACAGGAAGAAGACTGGGTGGGGGCGGGTTAAGGAGACAGAGGGGATGGTGTGTTGTTTGCTTTTAAGGCAAAACTATGATGCACAATGAAAGGAAGTGACTCGCTAAGGCTGATCAAGTGACTCAGTGGCAAGACCAGGAAATTAATCTGAGACTTAAAGGTCCAAGTCCCCACTGCCACTTTTAACTTTTATTCTTGGAACCCAGAAAAAATCCAGATGTCCTTCATACTGCTCATAAAATCTAAATAATACAATGAGGGATGTTCAATATTTACCCACTGCGATTGTGTTCTGGGATGGTTTTTTGCCTGCTACCTTCCCCACCAAGAAAAGTTAGATAAACTATCTCAGACTTTCTTTTTATGCCACATTTCACTTCAACAGTATGAGAAACCAGAATAGAGGAATACTTCTGAGCATGTGCAGAAAGTTCATTCCTCTAAGTGCAACAGAACTGGGTCAAAGGACAGGAGAGCTCCTTCTACCTCATATGCAAATGAAACCACTGGAGTGTAATTGCCCACAGGCTCTAATCAGAGACTTCTGAGCTGAGCCGAAGGCACTTCCTTCTAGCAAAGAAGCACACCCACAGGTGCCTAGCCTGCTCAAGGAGATTGGGGGAAGAACACAGAATCAAAGCAGCCAGCCTACTGACGTTGCCCCTCTGGGGCAGGGGGACCCAGTAACCCCTGGGCATCAGAGAGCAAGCACAGCAACAGAACCCCCCACCCCACAGTGCTGCAACAGTGTGGTTTATTTATGTCTGTCACACATCTGCAAACTAATAGCAGGTTCCCAGGGAAAGATCCATTAAAAGAAATAAGAAATAGAGAATAACAAAGTAAAGGACACACTTAAGTTCAAAATGCCAGGCTTGCCGTTTCTTAAAACCTCGGGAAACAGAAAGGGGCTTCCCTACTGCCTCAGTGGTAGTAACCAGAGTGCCAGAGAACCACAGGGCTGTGTAGGGGAAAGGTGAGCCCACACGAGTCCTATGGTGTGGAGTTGGCTTCTCACATGGATCAGAGGGGTTGCATGAGAAATGTCTGTGAGGTGGGGAGCACTTTGTCCCTCTAGCTGTCACCAGACTGCGCTCCCAGCCAGAAGGGCCAGTGGTGAGGGATTCCAGGAACCCTAATTGAGCAACTTCTGGTGGCCACCCTGACTGGCGCTACTTTCTACACCTTGTCATGGCCAGATGGTTGGATTTGCAAGTGCCTGCCACCAGCCCTGTTGCTTGCATGCAGCATCTGGTATCAGATGTATGCTGCCAGCCCAAGGAGGTTTCATATAGTTGCCATGGCCAAGAGCTGTTCCATCTGATCTCTCTGGTTTCCTTGGAACCAAAAGTCTCCAGAAATCTCTAGTAATTCCAGCTACTGTTCATGGAGTCTTGGGTTGGAGCTCTGGCAACACAAACAAGCACTTTGAAACTCATCCTTTACAGTTACATTTGGATTAGGGGGACAGGCCTTAAGGCTCTGCTGTGTCTTTCCCATGAGTTTCTGTGTGCAAAGGCCATTCCCACCCACCCACCCACAACTAACACACAGAACACAGGAGACAGCCCTATAACAGATGGATTCCCTCATGGACAACAGCTTAGTTTTCGCTCTTCAGTAAATAAGTGGGTGGGGCATTGGGCAAGTGACCTTGAAAATGTGAACTGGAGGATGCAGCTCTGGAGTCCAGGAGAGGAGAAGAGGGGCCTTTTATTCCTTTTCACTTTTTCTGCATCCCCTCTTCTTTCCCTGTTTCCTTTTTCTGCCTAGTGTGTTAGTTCATCAAGTGTAGCCAGAATGAGCCACACTGATCAGGGGGAATAGTTCCTACAGGTGTACCAGGACTATGGGGGTTTATATGCAGAGTTTTGTATGCCTGGTAACACGTATTTCTTGGAAAGGTTATTTTTAGTTTGCTGTTTAAGAATTACCATAACAGCATTACTCTGAACATAGGAAAAGACACGTTGACTTGTGGCATTTGCTACCACAAAATATACCAATGGCCATCGATTTGGATGGCTTTAACAACACTGATGAGGCATGTCCATGGAGGAAGGTCTGTCAATGGCTGCTAAGCATGATAACTAAATGGGACCTTCTTATGGAGAGGCAGTAGAAGAAAACCAGGGGTTGTCAAATGCATTCCTATCACTGTCGGATAGAGATTGCTGGGCTAAAATTGTTTGCTTATTTAAAATGTTTGCAGGCTGCCATTGAGGACAAATCCACCCCATATCTCACTGAAACTAAAGCCATTCTTACGTGCTTAGTAATCACTCTGCCCACAGACATTTTATTATTTATCTATAGCATTTTTATCCTACCCTTGAGACAAAAAGGCTCCTAAGGTGGCTGACAAAGATAAGAAAGAAGACAGTCCTTGTCCACAGGTGTACAATCTTAAAAGCACAACACAAGAGGAAAGAGAAATAGGAGGGAGGAGGGGGAAAGGCACATTCAGGTAGTAGATTCTTTATTGCAAGGCACAGCAGATCATGGGCACAGTGGAAGGACTGTTCCTTCCTTCCCTCTGCAGGGATAGTTGGCAGCAAGGGAGAAAGGGAAAGTCATTTTATGAAACAACATGCCATTCTCATTCTTTAAATATCCTAATTGCATGCACTAAACTGTTACCAGAAGAGTAACTAATGGTGTGAATGCTCACCGCCAGTACAAAGTTATAGTATTCAGTCTGTATACAATAACTATACAGTTGTAATAACTAATTGTACGGTTGATAGACTAGTCACGCTGCTAGAGTAGAAGCGGACTTTTTTCCTGTAGCAAACCAGAGAAGGATCCTCATCACTCTGTAGAAGGCCTTGATGGGTGTGTGTGTCTCTAGGCTGGGTATAACGAGAAGGATTATTGTTGTAGGAGCATTGTAGGTGACTTAATTTGATTTGCTGTCAGTAGATGATAGAAACATTGCACCCCACAGCATTCAGAGAACTTCCTGATATGAGATTGAGCCTAGCATTTAAAAGGGAAGCTTCCTTTTTGGAAGTTACAGGTTCGTGATTTGAAAACCAAAATTCAGATTTGGAATGTTATTTGTGGCTACTCAGTGATCTGGAAAAAGCACTCTGTGCATGATTAGGAACACTCACTTTTCTTCGCCTGTTCCAGCAACTGAGAAACAAGTGTGGAATGAAGGTTCCAAAATTTATTCAGCCTCAAATTGAGCCATGTTTTGAACAACTGAGTGTGGAATGGCTACTTTAGTACAGAAACCCTATACAAAGTACATTTGTGGGGGTTACACTCCCTGTGGGCGTTAGCACTATTAATCCTCAGTGGGATATCTTTTAAAGTTGGACTATAGGAAGTAGCCTTACATCCAGCTAAAACACTGATCCATCTAGCTGAGCCTTGACCATGCTGGCCACACACAACCTGGTGCCCTCCAGTTGTTTTTGACTTCGGCTTCCATCAGTTCTTGCTAGCAAGCCCAAAGATCAGGAATGCTAGAAGCTGCAGCCACAGTGTGTGTGTGTTTGCTTGTTTAGAACTTCCCTTACTGAAGTCTCGGGACAGTTTAACATTAAGACAAAAATAAAATAAAACACAGCATCCAGTAAAATAGAACACAGCATCCAGTATCTGGAAGACAGCAGCTTGAGGAAGGCTGCTGTAGGATTCTAGACTGGGTTTTCCCCAGCCTAGCCAGGAGGTGCCAATAATGGTTCTGGAGCATTCCACCTGTGGCTCAGGTGCTCTCAGGTCACAACTCAGCATGGTCACCCTTCTCCATTAAAACAGAGGGTAGAACTGGGGGGCTGTGAGCTTGTCTTGTGAGGTTGGGGAATCGGCCCCTGCCAAGATACTTGCAAGGGCCAGCAGCCTTGTCGCCATGGCTTCCTGTGCCGCTGGCCACCCCCTCTGTGCTGGTCAGAACAGCCGGCTGCAACAATCCGATGCCGGGCTTTGCAGCTTGCAGCTCCTCCTCCAGCCTGAACTCCTGGGCGCTGCTGAGCTCTGAGTGCTGGCGACTTTCAGAACAGCAGGACTGCTCTTCCCCAGTGCCTGGGCTGTCTCTGGGACTCCGAGACCAACTCTGAGTGCTCTTTTCTTCCTCCATGAGCAACTTCCCTCCCGGACTCTTTCATGCCAGCCAAGGTCTTTGTGGCGCCTCGCTTCCTCGGGCTCCTGCCGGGTCACCACCGTGCTGCTGCTCCCGCTGCCTTCAAGGTGGACATGCATTTCTCCTTCAGCGAGGAGGACATTAAGCGGCACCGGCTGCTGGCGAAGTCGGTGAGGTCTGTAGCTCAGCTTGGTTGCTGACTCCCCTGCGGGGGAGGGGGGGAACAGCAAAGCACGTGCATCCTGTGCAAGGGGGTGCACCACCTGGGTAAAGTTTTGTGGCTGAAAATTGCAGAAATTGGGCTGAGGGCAACCCACAACTGGAAACAGTTGACTTCCTGGCTTGCGGGAGGGGAACTTAGGTTGTGAGTGAGCCTGGGGCCCATTCAAGGCTCTGTGCCGTTTTCCCCCAACCTTCCTTCCCCCAGATGCTTAGACTACAATTCCCCAAATCCCCCTGGCAGCCGTGCAGCCTGGGGAATGCTAGAAGTTGCAACTGAAGGTAGGCAGAGGCTGGACAGATGAAGGCAGCTTTATGTTGTTCCTTAGGTACAATACAAACAGTCCATTAATGTTTTCTGTGTGGGACAGGAATTGCCAGCTTTGGACAAGCCCTAGAGATACCACAGATTTAGAGTGGGACCTGCTCAGCCTCCTCTGCACAGATCCCCAGCAAATGACTGTCAGGTTATATGCTGTGTCTTGGCAACTATAAGAAGTTTCCAGAGTTGTAGCCTAGTCTTCCCGGCTCCCGCCTCCAATCCCGGGTGTGATGACATAGTGGGGGATGTATCTCTCAGACCACGTGCTGTTTCTTGGCATCCGTAAAAATTCCTGATGGCAGCTGTAACTTGGTGGGCTCCGCAGTTTATCCAGAGATCCTGCAAGCACACCTGTCATATTGTGAACAGCTTCTCTGATGTCCTTGAATAATAGCAGCGCTCCAGATGCTTTGTTCACATTGTCCAGCCAGCCTTGCTCCTCTAACCACAAAAGGCGTTGCACACTGCCTGGGATGCATCAGTCCAGTGTTCAGTGTTATCCTTCTTAATGGTGTTGACAACTGTCCTGGAAGCACAATTGTGTTGAAGGACGGGCAGGATGTACAGTCAACTAAATCAATACTGCCCTGTTCAGAAGATTGTCTGCCCTCTAGTGCCCTCCATTTCTGAGCTGCCATCGTGGGGTGATCTTACTGCCACCAAGGTTCATTTGAAATACGCGCTTTTGGGATCCTGGTTCTGCCTTGCTCAATGCTGCCCTGCAAGAACAGCGACTGCATTTGGTATGCCCATTAGTAGGAAGGGATGGGATTAAGGGGACAGACACATCTGCCTGCCTGCCTGCCTGCCTGCCTGTGTCTGCTTTTAGTTTTGATCTTGCTTTGAGAGGCGCCACCCTTTCCTGCAGGCATGCTGAGCAGGAAATCTCCAGGCCAAGTGCAGAGGGGAAGGTCTGTCTGGTACCGGGTGCCAGAAGGAAGGTTCAAGTCATATCTGCTGCTTGGAGCAAGTGGGCAGCGGGGTTTATGCCCATCCTTCCTCCCATTGTGGCTTTTGGGGATTTGTGTATGAAGAGCTTTACTTGTGCCTCTGGCTTCCCATCTGGTCCCATTTTCAGTCAGTGCCACTGCCTTCCGTAAGAATTAGTCTGGACCTCCGAATGTTGCGTCACTGTTGGCATTAAGTGTCTGCGTGACTTTTGCCTGTGTGAGGGTTGCTACGTGATACAGAGCATAATGATACACACCCCTTATTTTGGGAGGTGGGGGTCACATGAGGCCAAAGGACAGGGTCAGAGTTCCTGCAGCTGTCTCTCAGAGCTTCCAGTGCCACCACAAACCAGGCTAAGGGTTAAATGTTCAGGGAGGCAGAGGCAGCCATGAGGTCCAGAGGAGGAAAGGGTGGAATTCAAGTCCCACCACAGCCCTGGATTCTCTGGGTGGTCTTCCCAATTAGTTCGTCCTCTCTTAGCCGCAGTTCTCTATCTGCAGCTGTAACTATGATGACAGCTGTCTTGCTGGGTTCCTATGTCGATCATGGAATAAGCAAAAATGAGTCTGTCACATTTTGGAGCATCCAAAAATTGCTATGGACATTACATGTGAATTAGAGTACCTTCCTCCTTCACACTGCACACAGAAGCCAAAGCAGCTTCATTCCATATTTAGGAAACATCTAGAAACCCATGGATGTCCGGGAAAAAACCCTCCACTGATACCCCTCCCACACTGAAACAACACAGGCACACATGTACCCTTTCCGCCCAGTTCAACTAAGCTGATAATAATTGGGGGGGGGGCATGTGAAGGTTCTGCATCCCATGCATATTCTTCCTAAGAATTGTTACTAGGAGTGGCCCAAGGCCTTTTGCTACCTTAGGCAAGTGAGAATGCCGCCTCCCTCATGAGATGTGGGACATGTCATGGTGGCACATATTGAGCAGGCAAGAGTTCACTGGGGCGTTGCTTTCTTATTTTCACTGAGAAGGACTGTCCTCATTTTGTTTATTTATTTATTTATTTATTAAAACATTTTTATGCCGCCCCATTCGCCGAAGCCTCGGGGCGGCTTGCAACAATAATTTTCTCCCTTCTCTGCAAAGCTGCCCCTAGGATCTGGGCACCCAAGAGAGATAGGAAGGTCCCTTGCAGCCCTTGGGAAGCAGGAGGAGTCTCCCAGTCATCTGGCACACTACTCAGCTGTCTTGGGGTACATCATCCTGAAGAACAGGCAGTAGCTTTTTTCCTGAAGCAGTGGCATGGCTGGGGCAGGCTCCCCCCCTGGAGTTCCGGCATTCTGGAGGATGCCCCATTGGCCTCTGTGACTGGGCAGGCCTGGTCAGTCCACTGCCCTGTGCTCTTTCAGTTCCTGCTTCACCTCACATCTGATGGTGGGGCCTCCTTCAGCTTTAGTGCTGCTGCTGCCCTGCCCAGGTACTGAAGGCTAAGGCAGACTAGCTGTGGGGATTCAGCCCTTCCATACCCCAGCAACCCCAGCCTCTGGATGTCAGGTTGCTGTTTAGAATTAACAAGTTCAGAAAAGAAATGGTGTGTAAATCTGCTGTGGGAATGCATTCTGTGACAGCTGACAGAGAACATGTTCTGTATTTAGAAAGAGAAGAGTTCTACAATTCCCAGCATTCCCCAGCTAGCCAGGCTGAGAGTCATAGCACATGTTTCTATTGAAACATGCCCAGGGTTGCACCCAACCTGAAACACAGCAGGCCTGGTCCAAAGCCCTCTTTGTCAGATTCAGCAGTGTAACAGGGAAATCTTGAGCAAAGGCAGGGCATACAGGGGCGTGGAGATGGGTTTCAGTTTTCCAATAAACAAGGAATACTGATGGGTGGAGAGTTGAATGTGGCTTGAACCTCTTCAGAACTCAGGAGGAAAAACAAAATAATGTTGCTCTTGAGGCGTGAATAACAGAAGGGTCTGAGAGGAGTATTTATTTATAGCACAAGCCTGTGCCCTTCACTACTCACAAATAAGTCCAGCCAAGTGGGGCTCTCTTACAGGGAAGTAGGTGTAAGACTGTGGCTTCAGTCATGCTCCTGGGCACCATTCATTGGGAAGTTCTCATTCACAAGCCCCAATTAAATAAATGAGAGTGGCACAGAGCACACCATCCATGTGCCCAGCAGTAGTGCTTGTGTAAGAGAGCTTCATGGTAGATTGCCCCCCCCCCCGCCGCCATCCTTTGGAAAGAGCAATTTGTGCAAGTGCTGACCAGTTTCTTGGACTCAGGAGTAAGGGCTGGCTTTTCTGCCTGCATACAGTGAGCCATATGTTTTTGTGTCCTTGGGAATGAAGGCTTGGGTTTGTTTTCCCTTCGTGTTGTGTACTGTTGCCACCCATCTTGCTGTAGAAGATTCTGTAAGTATGTGCTTTCTAGGGAGTAGGTCCCACTGAATTCCATGGAATTCAATTCTGAATCAGTGTCCCTGGAATTGCCCTGCACAGGGCAGTCATGAAACAGGTTTTCATTCCCCCAAGGATTTTTCTAAAAGATACACCCCTGTCTCAATCATATTGCTAAACTCTCTTGTCCCCCTTTCCTTTCCAGCAGCTTTCCTTGGCAGCACCATACCCGTTGGGAGGGAGTTGTCATTACTGTTGCATGCTTAGTTTGGCAGGGCAGAGAAATGTCAAATGGGAAATTGGAGAAGAGGAGCTATATATAAGCTCTGGGGAAGAAGCAGTCTGGTGTGGTAATGCTGTGTCCCAGTCCTCTAGATGTCTCAGTTTCTTCAGCAGCTGGGTCAGCAGTGCACTCAGGAGCCGAGATGGCTTGGCCATTCCTTATGTCTCTTGATACTGCTCTAAGCGGCTTGAGGGAGTTTGCCTGGTGTTGGAGTATATGTGTCTGGCTTGGTTGATGCTTTGTTGCAGATATGGGAAAAGGCTGCAGGGCTGCTGTCCCCATTTGCTCCTGCCTGACCTCTGGTGTAGACAGGAGGATGGGTCAGCATCCCAGCCAGCTGGGAATGCAGCTGAGATTCCACTTGGGTTATACCCAAGAGAGCTCACGATACATTCAGCTGTGGCTGTGGAATTCTCTTTGGCATCCCATTAAGAAGTGGGCCTGTAGCCAGAAACAAGCAGGCCAAAGGGTATCTTGTACAGGGGATAGGGGCATTGAAAGTCAATGCAAAACCCACACACAAGTAAAGTTAGGAAGGGGACAAGAATTAGTTTGTAAAAGCATTAGAAGTGGCATGAGAGAGCCTTCATTTTCTGTGGTAAACATACACACACTGGTTTGTCCCAGAGTACTCTCTAGACCAGGGGTCTCAAACTTGCGGCCCGCGGGCCAATTGCCGGGATGGGCGGGGCACAGGGGAGGGGCCCTGCGGCCTTCAAAGTGCTGGTGGCGCCCGGGCCGGCCTCCAGGAGCGACGCGGGATGAGCGGCCCACCCCCACCACGGTGGTGGAATACTTGATGCGGCCCAGCCTCACCCAGTCTCTACTTCCAGCGGCCCCCAGGTAAGTTGAGTTTGAGACCCCTGCTCCAGACAAACAAGTTTTAGAAACAGCATTGAAATCTATCAAGCTTGTTTAGCAGGATAAAAGTCTATGGATTGTGACCCCTCTTCCAAAGCACCTTTTAACAATCTGGGGGGAAAGCTTCAGTATTTCAAGGCTTAATTTATTAAATTATTTTAACACAATTA